TGTCCATAGATAATTTAAAGGGATGTGTCCCATGGCAGTGGATTAGTGGATTCTAGCTCAGAAGGAAGGTCCAGATGGTAATTTGAATTGTCTGTGAGTAGATGATAGCATGAGAAGATGCAATTCCACAAGGGATGGTGGCTGACACTTTTTCCTACTAATCAGGCTCTGGAAAAGCTACAATTACATGTTTGCCAGCACCATACCTGCCATACAGAGCCAAATGTTACATTAGTAGGGAAAGGTCTCTATTGGACTACTTAGAGTCTCAGTGTGTTATATAGGACAAAAGGGTCTTCACTGAAGACCCTTGAAACTTCACCAAATCTGAGTGCACTCAGACCAGTCCCTGACTTTCTTAAACCCCAAGACTCTCTAACAATTCCCCATTCAAAACTGCTCTAGCCCACCAGATAAGGAATTAAAAGAATTAGAGATAAGACAGTTAGCCCCATTAGTGTATTTATAGTCTATGGGAAGCACAGTCCCTTGCTGGTTCTTGGTTCTCTTGTAGTTAAGAAAATACCTTCTATCTACTCTCAGGGTTTCTATGAAAATTAAAAGGTAATTATGCCCACTGTTGATGTTTTAAATAATTCTTTGCATGAGCCTTAGCTATCTCTGATCAACTCAGTCTGTTGGATGATCGGAGAAATATTTTTCCTGCTGAGAACAGCTGGGAGAAAGGACCTTTTGCCTAATATCTGCACCCTTACTCACATCTCTCTCCATTTAGCAGCCTGAGTCTTCTGACTTTTCTACACACCACCTATCTTAGTCAAAGACACAACAGTTATTTACATAGCCAAGTAAATTACAAATTGTTATCTGTTCTATCATCTTCAGTTGATGTTTGTACCCTCTGAGAAACTGCTTGGTTACTGAGATTCAGAAATTCAAGTTAGGAAGCTTCCACAGCCCATGCAGAGGAGACGCAGGGGGCTAGACATTCCAGACACAGGGCATATAGCTATCGAAATTTGCTACTCAGCAACAGCAAATTCCACTCTGTTCCCATCCCCTCAGTGTAAGCCCCTGAAGTTTCTGGCCACCTGTGACCCTATGCTGATAAGAGAAGGGAAGAGTCCCAAGAAACACCCACCAAACTAAGGATTCAGGGCTTCTTAGAATGGTAGCTGCACAAGAAATACTTAATGCCAGTTAAGTATTAAGTATACTTAAGTATACTCAATACTTAATGCCAGTTCTTTTCTTCCCTGAACACCCAGTGCTGGCAACAGATCTGCCTCCAGAATCCAGGAAGACTTTCATCAAAGCTATAGATCTCATCAGACCCTATAACCTTACCGTTTTACCTTGTTTCCCCAGTTGTAGGCTTCCAGTGCCTCTCACAGGTAGAATGTCTTTAGTAACTTCAGCTAAGAACTTAAAAATTACAGCTTCCTGAGTCTTACCTTAGACCTATTGAATCTGAATCTTCACATTGGGGTCCTGGAATCTACTTCCTAACCCATCCTCCCAATATGAAGGTGATGCAGACAGCCCAGCACCAGAGTATGGCCTGACATCTGAAGATCACTGTGCTAGAGAAGGTTGGAAAACAACAGTATCCTCAGGTCCTAGAGCCAGCGATCACTGCAGAGACCTCGGTGGTTGGGCTTCAAATCTAGTTTCCCCAGAGTAAGTGGGGGAAATTCCCCATAGGTTCTGCTCTACCTACCTAGGATGACAATTCACCCTGTCTACTTTCAGACTATTCCTAAGGACGTCAAACATCCTAAGAATATTGCAGCCCAGACAAATCCTAGAGTCATTGGGATGCCCTCCAGCCTTTACATGGCCTGTGGTGGACTAGGACCCCAGAGATGCTGCATGGCAGCCTTAGAAACCGTATGTTAGATCAGAATTTTGCAGGCTCATGGGGGCAAAGAACTATTTTTAAAAATATATTTATTTATTTATGCATACAGAACTGGGGTACATGCCAGAAGTGCAGGGGTGGTGAGAGGATTCACCAGAGAAAAAATGGGGAGCAGAGCAGACAAATTGACAAAATACACTGCTAAGAGGAGCAGTGGGCAGTCAGAAGAGGTCACCTCTGGGACCAGGGTTTGAGCCTGCACTGAAGTGTCTGTGGCTAGCTCTGCAGTGCTGCATTTTAACCCTCTGCACTACCAGGGAGGGTCCAAAGAACTATTTTTAAGTCATCCGCTGTTGAGTCATCAAGAGGAGAAATCTAAGAGGGCATTAAGAAAAAGAGTGAGTGTCAAGTAGAATAGGGCTCCTCTCAGGACCACAGTACATAGGAGACTGGACAGTAGCAAGCAGGGCATTCTTTCCTATACATATTGAGCTCGGACTGATGATAGCCAGCTGGGTCTCTGCTGTAAGGATGTTGGAGTCAACCACTACCTTTTGCCAGGTGGTTAACTTGTGCTGCCTTAAAAAGTCCTTAGACTTGTCATCTCTTAAGTTTCCTTATATTCCTCTGATTGGATCTGTGGTTTTTGCTTCACTTTCTAAGCAAAATGCTCTTTAGCTTTTCATTTTCTGAACCCTGTAATTACTAGTATTCGCTCAATTTCTATTTAGTATCTACAAAATGCCAGGCATTGTAGTAGAGTCTAGAGAATAAAAATTGAGTGTGGTAAATGTGTTCCCAGCCCTCAGTGAGCTTACACTTTAGTGAACAAAATAGAAAAGCAAATGGACATTACAAATCAGAAGTTTATAGAAAAGTCCAGCAAGTTATGGGAACATGAAACAGGACTCTTAAGAGAAACTTCACAAAGGATCAGAAATGGAAGAGCTATCAAATGAGATTGACTTATCAAGCTAGGGAAGCAAAGCAAGTGTAGGCATAATTTCAGGCAATAGAAATAAAATATGGAGAGGTCTTAGGGTGAAAAAGAATGGGTAACATTCAAAGAGAAACTAAAAAAGGTGGTATGGCTCACAAACTAGTGATTGTCTTAAGTGTTGTAGGATACTTTAGAAGGATTTTAAATAGGATGGAATAGAATTAGGTCTGCATTGTAGAAAGGTCATTTGGTTACAGTTAGAGAAGAGAAAGACTGGTGCTCATAAGGATGACAGTGGCTGGCCACTGCTGTGATGGAGAGGTTAGTGATATGGAGAGAATATACAAAGGAGATGGGATCAATAGCATCGCATGTCTGATTGTTTACGGGAATTAAAAAGGAAGGACACAAGGCTGACACCCAGGTTGTGAGTGGGCACAGAAATAGGCTAGGTGGGCCATTTACAGAGGGAAAGGGTTTTAAAGGAGGGGCAGATATAGAAAGGGAGGTAGTGGGAAATATTCCAAAGGGAGAGATAATGATAAGTTAGTTCAGGGTATGCTGAGTTTGAGGTGTCCATGAGGCACTCAAGTGGAGAAGTAATATGAGGGTTGCTGCCCCAAGGACATGGTGAGACTGAGATGAAGACTACTACATTAAGGTAAGGATCAAATCTATAGGGATGGAGGAATGCTTGCAGGAGATTGTATCAGACACACCACAACTGAGTGCTTGCTCTGCCACTTACTAGTAACATAATGTCTACATGACAATGCTGGTTTCTCATTTATATCTTGGAGATAACACTTCATAAAATATAGTGATGATCATGACAATAATGCACACAAATTGCTTCATCCAGAGTCTGGAACATATTATTGTTACTGTCATTTATTCAAAAATATAAGAAAAGACTAGAGAGTCTCAAGATTCACAGTTATATATGTGAAAAAGTAAGGAAGAGGAGATTGGGAGAAAGAAAATTATCAAGCCCAAGAGAATATAACTCAGCAGTAAGGAGAGAATGTGTGTTTCTAGGAAGAAGTGGCCAAAATGGACATTAAGACAATCAAGAGAAGAACTGAGAAGTTTCCCCTCAAATTAGCCTGTGACAGTCTCTGTTGTTCTCACAAGAAGGTTTTCTTGTGAGATAGTGGACAGAGAAGCCAAGCTGCTCATCCTAAGGAGTTACCAGGGAGGGTGCGATGAGGGTTCTTCATGAAACTCAGTAGGCACTGGGAGAGAAGAAGGAAGATCTCGATGGGCTGTGAGTCACGTAAAAGTGTTTTAAGTTGAAGTAGGTTTGAGAATCTAAAAATGATGATAGGAGACAGTAGACAAATAGGAGAGAAGAGTGGGATAAGACCCAAAGCAGGGGGAAAGAATGTTTTAAGCCTGAATTAGGGATGATATCCTTCCTGTTGTCAGGAGGGAGAGATGAAAAGTACAGATGCAGGTAAGTCACAGGTTTGGAGGCAGGAATTTGAGAGAGTTGTATTTTCTCCAGGAACCAGAGAAATCATCACTGGCTTACTGCAAGGGGAAATAGGAAAAAGACAGAAAAAGTACTAGAAAAAACTCCTGGCTCAGGAACCATGATTCTTGGCAGCACTGATGTTCCCTACCACTCCTCAGGCATCTATATTCAGAGAAAGATGAATTTGATTAACCTAGATTGGCCTCTGTTTGGTATTTAGGATGAGGATGGAGATAAAGATAAGGGCAAGGGTGTGGTCAGAATGGTGGACTCTGGGTATCTGATCTGGATCTCAAGAGAAGTATTCAGACCGTGAGATCCACATGGATTTCAGTAAGACAAGAAATGTTGAAATATATCAGTAAATAAAAGGTTGTAGTCAGAAAGTGGGATGAGACTCAAGACAAGGAACCAAAGCCTGAGGTGAGTAGAGGAGAGTGCTGAGCTCAGTGGGAGTGAATGAGGAGAGGGCAGTGTGGCTGAATGTGGCGCTGGAGCAGGTGTGTTACAGAATGAGGTAAAGTGAAAATGGTGAGAGATGAACGAGCAATGGCATAGAAGCTCATGATGAGGCGCTGGAGTAGGACGGAATAAATAGAATATCGAGAACCCTGCAGGAACAGTGGGACCCTGGGCCAGTTGAGTTACGGAAGGAAAACAGGTGTTGGGAGAGTTGTTCTATCCCTGGACTGGGAGGCGTGGGAGGGAGAGGGCCAGGGCGCAGGTTGTTACCTCTCTGTGGTTATGTTCACTCTCATAAGAATTCTTTCTGAAGAAGAATGAGAAGATGGAATTCCCCCTTGGGTCCCTGGAAACTACCAACTTTCGTCAATTCACTCCCGAGTCCCTGTTGGAGATTGAAAAGCGAATTGCTGCCAAGAAGGGAACAAAGAAAGTAAAACAGAAGCGCAGGGAGCTAAAGAACAAAGAAGAGAAACCTCGGCCCCAACTGGACTTGAAAGCCTGCAACCAGCTGCCCAAGTTCTATGGTGAGCTCCCAGCAGAACTGGTTGGGGAGCCCCTGGAGGACCTGGACCCCTTCTACAGCACATACCGGGTAAGGCCTCCTGGCTGGAACGTTGCTCTCAGCTCTGGGAGAGGAAGTCTTTGCCCCACCCAGCCCAGAGAGTCCTCGGCACGCTGGGTGATATTGCTGTCAGCTAGACTCAGTTAATGAAAAACAGACTCACATCTTTTGACACTCATCTTTATGATATTAATGGTAGAGGTTAATTAAATCCAAATCTTAAAAGCATGATGGCTTTGGCCTTGGAGTTTTTTTGGTTGAAGTGGCTATTCCCTTGAACAAGCTCCAGTGTAAGATCTTCATGGATATGCTCTGTTCGCAAGTGGGGAGCACAGAGCTTGAAGCTAGGGGCAGAGGAGAGCAGCAAAATGGGGTCAGATGTCAGGATGACTTAAGGCAGTGGTCTCAAAGGGGTCCTCAAAACCCTTCCTGTGGGTTCAGAGGTCAAAATTATGCCATAATATTCTTAGATATCACGTGTCTTTCTCACATTATCTTGTGAATACACAATATGAAAGACAAGGCTATTGATGAGGATGGCGTCATCAGTCTAGCAGCTGCTGAATTGTATGCTTGTACTTTCCGGTGTGTTCATTTTCCTGATTTTGATCTTTCATATTATATCTACACATATGTGCAGGTATGCACACACACCCATGCACATATTCTGTCCATCAGGCACTCTCAGACACGGGCCACAGACACGGGCTGTGGATTGTGCTGAGAAGGTGGGAATCTGGCTTTCAGTCCCCAGGCTTCTCTCTCTGCCCTTCCACTTGGAGTGTGACGACGGCTCATGTGCTGATGATGCCACTCATGCTCAAAAATATGTCTGTGTGGGATGCACGCTTCTCATTGGAGGTCCTTCTGTTTTGTTTTGTTTTAGACATTCATGGTACTGAACAAAGGGAGGACCATTTCCCGATTTAGTGCTACTCGGGCCTTGTGGTTGTTAAGTCCTTTCAACCCGATCAGAAGAACAGCCATCAAAGTGTCAGTCCATTCATATCCTTTGTACAGTTGTCTCTTCCACATGTTACAATCAGGCCTTGTCCACTGTGTCCAGTACCTTCTTCAGAGGTTATCAGTAGCCTTCCTTCAGTTAAATCCTGTAACATTAAGGCTATTAAATGGGCAAAAAAATGTTTATGTCTTTAATATCCCAAAAAAGGGAGGTGTCACAGATGGATTTGGTTTCACCTAGACTAGTCTAGATATACTCATGGGTGCACAATTTGAGAAGTGTCCTCTATGAGGGGTGCTGATACACCCATGCACACTCTCACCATGGTATGGGGACAGCACAATATAAAAAATGGTAAAAGGTCCCTAAGGTTCTGTGGGCTGATGAGCTAGGCAAGGTTGGATACTCTGCTTGCTAACCATGTGGGAGAAGGGCCATTTATTGAGCAACAGGACAGCACCTCTTAGAGGCCAATGATAGCAGCTACAATGGGTGGGGTATAGATCATCACAATAGGACTACATTAATAGAGTACTGCCAACACCACAAGGTATCGCCAAATGTCAGAAACCTGAGTTCATGCCATTGTGTGAGAGGCACCTTGGTCAAATGCCTGTATGTATTACCTCTTTTAACTAGTTTCAGAAGTTACCTTTAGTATTTTGGGTTTGTTTTTCAAAACAAGACAAACTAATACAGTAAAGAGACTTTGGCTTGGTTTCCAAGGATCTCACTTGGTGACCATCCAAATTGGAAATTCCTAATGACAAATTCAGCCCTGGCTTCCAGAGGTTGACTTGAAAGCACAGTTTTGCCTCACTGCTTGACAGATGGTGTCCAGCCTCTTCTCCAGTAAATGGAGCTCTCTCCCCAGCGCTGGGGTGTTTTTGGGTAGCTGGACATCCCAGTGAGCTGGTGAGCATGAAAATGTCCTGCTTAGTGAAGTTACATTACGTTTCCCCCTTCCATATTAATTCTTTATGGCCAGTTCCCACTGGGGAATTATATTTTCTTAATTCTGTCTTGGCTTGTCTGGTTCCATAGAAAGATATTTAATGGAATAGCAGGCTCCTATTTGCTAAATACCTCCTAAGCATCAGTGCTGTACAGAAACCCCTGAAGAAAGGATTAGCATGTACATTTTATAGAGGATGAGACTAACACTAGGAAACATAAACTATATTGTCCACTAGCACACAGTCTGATAATGGTGGAGCCCATGTCCTCAGTAAGGCAGTATCAACAGAAAGGAAGCAGGCTGCTAAATGGAGATGAATTAGGGTAATGTATTCTCTTAGTAGGTCATCAAATATATAAAATTCCATAAAAATTTTAAATGAATAAGCAATACACAAACTTCTTTCCATGCATCCTCATTGAAATATATCTAGATTAGTAAGAAATGGCTAATTAGATATAAAATCCCCTTTAAAAAGTGACCGGTGAAAATCCTTTTCATCTTGAGATTTGATGGGTAAGTAATTATGTTGTGGAGTCACAATTAGACAGAAAAGCTTTTGAAGCTCTCCTCACAAAAGTCTGCATTTATATATTTAAATCTCAGGAACTAGGTAGATCTAACCCCCCCAAATATACTCTTTAAGGAATGGAATTTTCAGTGTTGTTATTAATACTTCACCAAAATTATAATTCTAACTAAATGTTCTATGGATATTTCCACATGTGATCTTGTACCTAATATATCATATTACTTTTAAAGGTTTGTGCAATTGGAAATATGATTTTAATTTAATCCTTGGGTTAACATTTTCCCCCATGTGAACACATTTCTTAATTTAATTGCAAATCAACAGGAAAATGTGGCTTAATTAGTAGAATTTCCCTTTTTAAAATAGATGTGTTCCTAAGTAACTGTACAACGGGGCACATTAAAGGCATTTTACAGAAAACTAAAATAGATTTAAATACTTGGGCTCAAACTGAAAATATGAAAGATGAGCAGTTCACTTTCTCTGCAGGTCAAGCATATTGTCAAGCTTTGTTTTTCTTTAGAAAGTGATAGTTAGGGAGCCAGTTAGTCCTGTGAAAAATGTCCAGTAGGAGAAATTTATCTAGACTACCCACATCAGTAGCTCTTCCCATCAGTTCCCAACCTTGCCCCCCACCACTTGCCTTCCTCCTCAGTGTCTCCTTCCCCTTCTGGAAATCCTTTTCCCCAACCTCTCCACTAACACTTTCCTCACTGGCTTTTCGGAGTCCTTCTCTACAGACTAGTTCTGTTTGGGATTTTTTCCTTGAGGGAAGATTTCATTTTCTTGTGCCTGTTCCTGTCACTCCTAGCCAGAGTCTATTTCTTCCTTGTGCCTGATCTCAGCTAAGTTAGAAAAACATTATAACTAACTCCCCCCAAAACTGTACCCTTCCCAGAACTTTGTCTTTGTGAATAAAAGAGACATTTGCTGAATGAAATTCCCATCCAAATTGCACAGTGAAGCAAAGACTTCAAGGCAGAAGGAGATGTGACTCAGCACTATGGTTGACTGGCTCTATGACCTTGGAAAAATGATTTAAACTCTGTCAACCTGTTTTCTCTACTCCAGATGTAATGTCCACCTATCGACCAGTTGCATTAGAAATAATGCAGTAATCAGCCCAGGATAGGCACTTATAAATATTAGCAGTTATTATGTGACAAGATCATAAAGCTATCTTCACTAAGATTATGAATTTAATCAATCAGTCAATCATCTAGGTGATCTGAGATGACATTAAGGATACACAACTTTCAGCTTTTCCTTAACACAGGCCTCTCAGATGGTTTAGTATATTCATCACAGTCACTATTTTGATCAATTGTGTGTACATGACACAGAGTGACATGCCAGAGAAAATCGAGTGAGTAGCTCTGATGCCATTCTTGTGCCTTCATTTCTGTTTCCTTCCTTCACTTTGTAGACTAATTTATTCTCTCAGGTCTCCATTTGGATAATTCTGAATCCTATTGTCTATCTGATCTTGTGCAATTTGGTTTTCTACTCTATGGGCTTATCTCATAAGCACACCTATGGTTTTCAACGTTAAAGAGCTATTAATCGGTGGTTCCCAACCTTGGCTGAGCGTTGGAATCCCCTAGGGAGACTTTTTAAAAAATACTGATGCCTGGGTCTCAGCCCCTGAGGGTGATTTCATTGGTCTGTGGTGACCTGGACAGATGGGCTTCCCTCTCCTTCATTAACATACTTGCTGGCCGCATGCATGAATGAAGTTTCAGCAAGGCCTACTCTGAAAGTGCAGCAGGAGTAAAATTGGGAAAGAGTTAACAACAAATAGTTCTGGAATATAGACAGGAAATTAGCCATGAATAAAACTGTTTAAAGTAATCATGGCTTATATACTTCAAAATGATCTTCATATTCCTGAGATGATTTTAACTATTTTATGGTTAAGGCCTTCCCCAAAACAGCCTGTACCAATACATCTGGGAGAAGTGTCTCAACCCCAGCTCAAGCCTGTTATGCTTTTACTAAAATATCAGGAACTCTGTAGAATGTTCTCTTTTTCTAAAATATATATTTCTATTTATGCTATCTATAGCAATGATATATGCCACAGGAGGAAATGTTCTTTCTATCAATGAAGAAAATCATGTGATCATTTTAATTGATGCAGAAAAATCAAATAGAGTTTAATATTCACTTATGATTTTAAATACTTAGAAAAGTAGGAATAAAAAGCAATTGCTTTACTCTAATAATGATACCCACTTTAAAGAAAGTAGCAAGTATCATACTTAATTGTGAAACATGAAAAGCTTTCTCTTTCAAATCAGAAGAAAAATGGCAAGGATGGCTGTTTCATCAGTTCTGCCAATTTGTAAGAGATTCTAACCAGTGTAGTAAGGCAAGGGAAAGAAATAAAAGGCATCAGAATAAGAAAAGAAGCACCAAAAATGCCATGATTTATAGGCATCATGACTGTGTATATAAAATAACCAATGTAATCTAAATGATTAAAATCAATAGGAATACATAACAAGGTAACTAGGTACAAATTAATATACATAAATTAATTGTGTATCTGTAAATTAGCAATAAACAGAAAAGGAAAAAATTGTAAGCTATAATTTGTATTGTATTTTAAAATACCCAGTATCTATAAATAAGATTATCAAAGTTGAATAAGTTCTCTAAGAAGAATTTTTTTTTTAATATTGAATAATATTAAGGGAAACCCAACAAGTGATGATCCTTGGGGAGGATATCATAAATGGAATGTAATTCCAATCAAAAGCCTAGTTTTAAAACTACAACTTGACAAAGTGACTCTAAAATTTATATGAAATACAAAGAGCAAATTGTAGTCAAGACTTTTTTTTCATAAGGTTAAGATTATGTATTGTCTTTTATCCTAGCAACTTCTTTCAAGAACCCTATTCTATGTAGTCAGGACATTTTTAAAGAAAATATATATGGTGAGAAAAAAGAACTTGCTCTATAGGACATCAGGGTTTACTATAAAACTCCAGTAATTGAACTAGGTGCCTTTGATGCACAATTAGCCCAATGGGGGGGGCGGGGCTACAGACCACTCATAACCACACTGATGTATACACAGAGTTGGGAAATTAAGGCGGCACTGTGGAACTGAGCAGCAAGTACCGTCTTCATCGATGTTGCAGAATGAGGAACCCCAATAGAAAAATTAAATTGTACATATAAGAATTACTTCTAGGCAGGTTAAGATCTAAGTTTCTTTGTGAAAAACAAATGCATAGCTGTTAGAAGGGAAAAAAATATTTCTAAGGCTGGTGTCAATTATGAGCTTTTGGGTTTAGTCAGCGGAGTCTTTGATTTGCTTTGAGTTACCTCTAAGAAGTTTTATCAGAGTTCCCCTTTCAGGGGCACAAAGCAAGTTTACCTGAGAGACATTTACACAGACACAGGCCAGCAAAGGTCACATTTTAAAATGACAGGATTATTAGGAAAAGAGGAAAAAGAGGAATTGCAAAATCAGAGGGGCAGGAGAACTACCTTTTTCTGGCACAGAAATGGTTCTGATGTAGTGATCTTTTGGGGAGGGGTTCTTTGTGGAATTGTTCTCTATTGTCAACTAATTATTTCTAGGGTGTGACTAGGTTGATATGTAAAGACCAGTGAGTCTTCATCCCCACCTCTGTTCTGTGCCTCTGGATACTTTCTATAGCAATGTGACACTTGGTACTTGCTATATGTATGTATGTAGCAGTATGTATGTATGTAGCAGTTGGACCTACGAAGTCTTCATTTTTATAGCTGATTTCATGGCCATATTTATCATTTCTACTCCCACCTCCAGTTTCTAGTCTTGTGACACCTCCATCCCAAATTTTCTACTACTAGCCTCCATCAAGATGACAGACATTATATAACATGTAAAACTTCCATCCTTCTTTTCAACTTTCACTACAAATCATTTTCTCTCAAAAGGAAGAGCTATTTGGGGGTTCTGGTTAAGAATGAAGATAGCATGTTTGTTTTACTGAATGCTCTGAAAATGCTAGTAAAATGACAGCATGGGAATAAGAAGAGTATAAACACACAGGAACAAAGAGAAGAAGAAAGGTGAGCTCAGAGGACAAAAGATGTCAAAACAATTTCAACCACCTAAGGTGGGTGGAGGGGACCATGAATGACTCAGCAGATCCTGGTTTGTTAATCCACTGTTGTGCAGAGAGGGATTTAAAAAGTGGATCAAGGATTTACCCCTTAAAGTCCCAGGGGCCCTAAAAATGTTGATACATGATACAAGTAGCAAAATTGGACGTAGAAAGTGAAAAGAATGTGGAAGCAGAGTATGTTCACTTATTGCTGCTTCTGTGATAGCAAAAGGTTGAGTGTTGAGTGTTCTTTAAAGTTGATAAATCAAGAGATAGAAAACAATTATACTTAATAATACAAAGATAAGCACAAAAAAGATATCATTAAGTACAATCAGATGATGGATAAAAGAGAGAGGAATGAAAGGAGAATTGTCAAATGGAAATGAGATATTGTTTAAAGAAACTTCACTAAGGCAATGTGTTGCATAATTTTAATTGTAACTATAAATTTATACTTTAAAAAGGGCAGCTACTAGAAGTAAAATACAGTTCTAAATTCAGAACTGTACACAAAATATAAAGCAAATAAGATGTAACAGATAATGAAATATATTTTGCATTCAGAACATAAAGTAATATAAGCAAACTAAGACCAAACAAATACGTCAATAAAAAAATGGGCTAGACTCACTTATTTTTTCTAAATGCAATATCCAAAACTATGTGGAATAAAACAATACAGTGTAATGTCTAAAGTGATACAGAAAGGCAAAAATTAAAGAGTGGGCTTAAGCAAGAGAAGAACAGGACACACTTTTATCAGAGAAGGTAGTATTTAAGCCAAAAATCATGAGACAGGCTAAAATGGACGCTTTGTCATGCTAGATAATCTATAACAATAAATCTTTATCTTTGCAACAAATAATATTTACATATAAAAAATTACGAGTATAAGGATAGACAAAAACATTGTAGGATTTTCCTAATCCTACAATGATAGATAAAATATACCAGAGTGTATACAGAGAGATAGATGACCTCAATAGCATAATTAATAAGGTATACCTAATAAATATATATCAAACTATAGTCCCTGAAAAATAGAAGGTAGCAGTAAACAGAAGTCTTTTCAAATGACCATAAAATTGACTGAGTACAGAGAAAACATTGTAATAAATTAGAAAATAGAGCAGCAAATAATAAAAGAAAGTCTTTTTCTAATGACCATATAAGAAAGAAAACATTGCAATAAAATTATAAAATATAACAACAAATAATAATAAAATAAGGAAGAGAAGAGAGACCTTTCCATTTGGTAATTTAAAAAACCCTTTTAAAGAATTCACAATTTCAAAACTCCCTTTTAAATAATTCAAGCTAAAAGAGTTTCTAGGAATAAAAAAATAAAAACCACTTTAATCAGAACCTAGAGAGTGCAGTTGAAGCCGTGCTCAGGGGATAATCCATAGCATCAAAGTATAGAACACTTTTGTCAGCAGAAATGAAAAGAATTGTTTAAGGGCCTAACAAAAAGCTAAAGGAAAACAATAAAATAAATGAAATAAAACAGAAAGAAGAACATAATCACTTAAAAGGAAAATTATACGTATAGAAAACAGTAGAACTAATAAACCCAAAAGCTGTTGTGGGAAGGATGCACAGAACTTTATATTGAAAAACGGTGAAATGTGATTGAGAGAAATTTTAAAGTATCTTAATAAATGTAAGGCTATCTTGTGTTAATGTATTGAAGATTAACTATTGTGAAAATGTTAGTGCTGCCCAAATAATCTAGAGGTTCAATAAATATTCCAGAAACATGTCTTGCAGAAATTGATTCAATATATTTACGTGCATGAAACAAAATTTATTAAACTATTATCTATTGACAAACACTTACGTTGCTCCTAGTCAGCATCATTCTCATATTTTGTCATCATAATTCTTCTGTGAATATCCACACACACATATCTTTATAAACATACTGTGGAGAGATGTGAAGGATGAATTCTTAGAAGTGGAATAGCTGGATAAAAAGGATGTATACAATTTTAATTTTTGAGATATTACCAAATTGTTTTCCAAAGCTTTACTAATTTAATTCCTACAAATTATTCAAGCCATTCTTTATCAGATTTTGTGATAATTATGAACACTGCTTCCTTTCAAAGCACACTTTGAAAAAATATAAAAGATTAAGATTTGTCTATCTGGTCCTCATCCTAGAAATGTCTGCATGTGACAGGTATCAGGTGATGCACAGCATCCTCAGCCTCATGGAAATTACTAGACTCCAGATTTTATTTTTGAAAGACAA